GCTCAGTCGTTAAGCGTCTGCCTTCGGCTCAGGTCATGATCCCAGGGTCCTGGGATCGAGCCCCACATCGGGCTCCCTGCTCCGCGGGAGTCTGCTTCTCCCTCAACCTGCTGCTCCCCCTTGCTTGTGTTTCCTCTCTCACTGTGTCTCTCTCTGTCAAATAAATAAATAAAATCTTTAAAAAAAAAAAATCAATTTAATCAGTATCCTAAAAAAATTTAAGAGGGGAAAAATTCTGCTTTGATTTATTGCTTTTCTATATTAGTTATCTACACGGATCAATTTATGGATAAATGCTCAAGTAACAATTCATTTCATGCTGTGGAGACACCCCACTCTCCCTGAGTTTTAGAAAGTTAAATCCCAGAAGGCACCAGTGGTGTGTGCCTCAATGTTCCTGCCTGCCCCAAAACCAGTACCTCATTTTCTACTAAGAGCATCCTGATTTTCTTTGAGGAGCCAAGCCTCTCCCCACTCTCAGTCCCTGAGGTGAGAAACAGTCATGTGACCTGGGCTTGGCCAACTAGGGATTGGTTCAGAGATGGGTACGTGAATAAAGCTGGACCAATGAGCACATGCCCTGGGCCTGTTGCCGGCACTATTGAGAAAGATGTGCTCTGCCCTTTGGGATTGCTAATGCTTGGAGCTGCTGCCTGACAGTGAAGCCGACATAAAGGAAAGCAGATGGATGGTAAATCCAGCACACACAGCAACGTGGATATATCAATAAGATGTGATTTTTCTCATTTGCCCCCATCAATCTGGAGGCACTGGTTAGTAGGAGGAGACACTGGTTTAAGTCTTGGTCTAATCAATAGTTTCAATATCCCCTTTGAGAACATGCTCAGTTTCTCAGATGGCCTTGCCCTTCTCCTGCTTCACCAGTAAAGATGATGGTGTTTGGCTCATATTCACCCACACCCACCATTATGGTTGACCTGATTGATACAACACTGAAATATGCCCGGGGCAGTTGGTAAAGAGGTGCCACCCTGAGTTCCCTGAGCAACCCCCAGTGCCCCTCGTCTGGGACTTTTCCCCAAGCTCCTCACAATCTGTCAACAAAAGGGTTAATGCTGGAACAGCAGGCCACCTCAATTCAGACTGGTTGGTGCCTGAGCCTATAAGGACTTTTAAATATTTTGATCACCCTGTAGGGTCTAAAGGGTAGAGGTAGGGTGGTGTGTGGCTTCTGTGTCCTCATGGTACTGAGAGAAAGGGAACTCTTGGCCTTGTATGGTCCTGGAGCATAGCTGCCTGCTGTCTGCCCATCTCAGTGGCCACTTTTCCTGTCCTGGGTGGCCTGCCAGCCTCTATGTGGATGTTGAGTTGGTGGTCCATCCTCTATTCTGAGATACTGCTCCCAAAGGTACTCCCTGGCTGATTTAGCCTCTTCTCTGCTCTCTCAGGTGCTTCCGACTTCTGGCCATGACTTTCTAACTGTCCTGAACCTAGGGGTTTCCTTGGCAGTCCACATCACTGAGTCCCCTTGTTACAGTGCTCACCTCTGGAAAACTGGTCACAGACTTGCTGCTACATCTGGGTAGGGTCTAGGCTATTAGGGGCCTAGCATAGGTTGGGAAGTCCATGCTGGGCCTCCTTCTGCCTGACCAGTGCAAGGCTACCCAGGGTCTCCCTCTCATAATTCTAGGGGGGAGGGGGTAACAGGGGAGAAGGTCTTCTTACACCTGTGGGGTTAGTCATTACTTTCTCAGTACTATTGCTCCTCCTAGGCCTCCTTCTTGTCTTGTTCTGCTGCTTCTGTCCCCCCACAAGCCCCCCCCTTCTCTTCCTCTCTAGACCTCTCATACATAAAACTCCAATTTTAGTCTTAATCCCTATTATTCCTAACAACATCTTTTAAGCACCTAAAATCTAACCATACCTAAAGCCAGTCTACCCAGTTTAGCAAACTAATGGATTCCATTTTTGGTTTAGCTAGTCAGAGTTGGGTTTCGGTCACTTGTTACCCAGAGTCCTGACAGACCTGGTAATAACAGGATCTATGTCACATTATTTGTGGTGGCATTGAGCACAGCTCCACATGCAAATGAGGTTAATTAAATGCATTTGGCAGTCATATTGATGCCATGGCTAGATCCATGACTCAGACAAAGCTTGTTTTGAAGAGCTCCTCAAGTCCATCCCTAAGCCTTTCAAGTGCATTGCTTCCTCTCACATGGTAGAAGTAAAAGAAGGAAGAGGAATCCTTCCTTTGGATTACATGGGGACAGAATACCTTCTCCTCCCATTCACTTCTGTGGAGGCTGTACTGAGACCTAATTCTATTTCTCCCTATTGACCCGTCCTGCCTCACTTTACCCTGTCAGCATGTTTCAGTTTCTCATAGTAAAAAGACACTGACAAAAAACTTACCCGCCTCCCCGGTTGTCATTTCCCCTTCTCTGCCCAACCAACTCCTCTGAAGCAGTGACCTATACCCACTCTCCCTGCTGCTCCTCTTCCCTGACTCCATTTGCCTCTAACCCTTTGTGACCCAGTTTCTGGTCTCATGACCCCACCGAAACCGGGGTCACACGAGTCATCAATGACTTGACTTCCTCATTGTCCAACTCAATGGTTACATTCCAGTGTTCATGTGCTGGGCATCTCTGTGGCATTTCCCACTCCTGATCACTTCCTCACCCTAGAGAACCTCTTCATTTGGACTGCTTGATGCCATTTTCTTTTCTAGTTTTCTTCTCACTTTTCTGCCCTCTCCTCAGGACCCCTGTTTGACCCTTAGGAGCTGGTATCTGTCAGGTTCACTTCTCATCCATCCCATGATCTTCCCATTGGGCCTGCTCTCTCCGGACCATCTCAGCCCAGCCCCAGCTTCAGTGACCACCTCTGTGTTGACTATTTCCCAGGGGGCACTTCCAGGCCTCTCTCTGGGGGGCTTGGCACCCATGTTCTTAACTGCACTCTGGAGGTCATCCCTGAAAGTCCCATGCACATAAGAAAATGTGTTCAAAACATGCCATCTTCGTCTCAGAGGAGCTTCTATTCCTCCAGTCACTATCACAGTAAATGGCACCACTATCCATGAAGCTGCACAAAGAAGCTGGGAATCCTTCTGGGTTCCTATTTTCCTTTTCCCTTTCTCTGCTTACTGAGACAGAACCTTGTACCTGGCAGTATATAATGTACCCCTAAAGCAGTGAGCATGAATGGATGAATGAATTATGGGGACACAGAAAATGAGGGCTCTCTAACTTGAATCTAAAGCTTGATGTCTTTTTACCTTTTACAGTTTTTCAAGGCTCCTTCATTAACATGAGGGCGTTGTCCCAGATGATCTTCAACTCTGATGATCTCTGATCCTAGACTCCTTCAATCTGACACCTTAGGTACTTAAACACCGTTCCTTCTTCTTCACTTAAATCGATTGCTCCTTCTTGCGCCTACCCTGCCTGCAAAAAGAGGAGAGAGGCCCCTGAAATAAAATAGGACTTCAAACATAAATTAAACCACCTTTGCAGAACGCATTTCACTCTGATAAGAGGGCCTGATGTATCTCTGCAGCCACCATGAGTCACAGTGAGAGTTGGAAACGGAGGAAGAGGAGAGGGTGGGTGGGAGCAGCTGGTGGAAAGATAAACAGAGCCCATTTCCTCTTGTCTCTGTAGTGCCAGGTCATGTCACCCTGTGTGAGTTTCCCCGGGTGCTGCACAGGGGAAAGTACCTTCCCTCTTGTTCTGCATGACTTCTGTCTGGAAACGAGTATCGTCATGGTCTCATGAACGCCTCTGTGCCTACCACTGCTACCTCTCAAAATATTGCATGAGCACTCATTTGAATGCCTTCCCCGCGCAGTGGCCATGCTAAGCAATGTGCACCTTAAATCTTTTAAACTCTGCCACCCAGCAGGTAGGTCCTATTTTATCTCCTTTACGCAGGCCAGGAAACTACCGCTCAGAGAGGTTAACCACTTGACTAAGGCCAAGCAGCTCATGGTGCAGTCCGGCAAATCATCAAAATCAAACCCAGGGCTGTTCATTCTATGCCCAAGTCTGGGGCACCCATGGTTACACTGCTTCTGATGTATCCGTGGTTATCTTTCATACCATACATACGTTTAGCACACCGCATCCAGGAGCTTGATAAATGCTCACTGAAGGAGTACCTAAACCATGCCAACAAGAGCTGGATCTGGTCGCAGGTGCCAGAATTCAGAAAGGCAGCTTTGGTCACTTCCCACCCCTTCTTTGGATCAATTTCCTCATCTGTAAAATGGAGGCATGAAGCAGATGCCCTGTAAGGAGCCTGTGCCTTTAGCTTTCTGTGGCTCTCTTCCAACGGTGCAGCGTCCCCGAGGTGAAGCCAGGAAACGGGAGGAGAGCCTGACCCACGCAGCTCCATTCTCCGCGGGCTTGCCCCCGGCCCCACCGCTGACGCATGCGCCGCCCGCCGGCCGCGGGAGCCCGGGAGCCCGGGGAGCCCAGAGCGGACGCGGCCCTCTCCACACATGCGCCGGCCCCGGCCGCCTGAGCGGCTGTGCCGGGAGCAGAAGCGAGTCCCTCCCCTCCGCGGTGGGGAAATCGGGGTTCCCCGCCGGGAGGGGGAGCGCCTGCCAGGAACGAGCCCATGGGGGAGGCTCCCGGCCCTCGTTAGGAAAGGCCAGAGCCTCTCCCAAGACCCCTGGGAAAGCTGCTCCCCGCGCGGGAGGGCGTGTCCCGGCCCGGGCGCCCTCGGATGGGACGTGCTGGGCGGCACAGAGAGGCGGTTCTGTCCGAGCGCAGATGGAAGCGCTCTCCCGGCGTGGACGAGGGCAGCGGGGCGGGGGCGGGTTTTCCTCTGAAAAACGACACTCCCGATCAAACGAAAATTTCTAAGGTCACTGAAGACCTGTATCTGGCGAGGGGTGGGGAATGGGAGGTGTGAGGCGTCACCTGCTAGTACAAGCCCGCCCTATGTGTGTGCGTGTTGGGGCTGTGATGGGCACCGGGGGGGGGGGGGGGGGCGGAGGACGTGGGGAGAGAACATGTGCAGCCTTTTTTCTTCTCATCCTGTGATATTATTCCTCTTCCTGCTGCAGAGTCCCCCCTCAGAACTTAAGGATTTTTATTTTTTTGAAATCTGGGAAGAAAAACGGAGGCTAATCAAAAAGTTCCCTGATGGTGAAAATAAATGAGATCTCAGCATTTTGATTTTGCCTTTTTGACCCCCTCAGTCCTTCCTCCACTTTGCCATCTTTTGAATGTTCAACTTGGAGGTTATCTTTTCCCAAATGAGTTAACGTGGGATGGCCTTTCGGAGGGTTGGATCAGTGGGCTGGAGAAACCGGGAAAATGGAGCCCTTCTGCCAAGTTGCCATTCAGGTTGTCACTGTTAAGGGTATGACTTTGTCCTGCTAGGACTTAAAGGAAAGTCCTTCCTCAAACAGGGATTTTTCAGGGCATAAATGCTGGGAAGGCAGAAAGTTGTCCAGAGAGGGTGATTGCCGTGAATTTTCAGCTGGTCTGGGCCAGCCAGAGTCTGTGTGTGTGCTTTCCTCTGTCAGAATAAATGCAGTGCTGAGCTCACCACTCCCAGGAGATGTGATGTGGGAGAGAGCTGCTTGCAGAATCATTGCTGACATCAATTCATTTCGGATTACTCAATTTACTTTGAGTTCATTTAACTTCATTCCATTTTCTTCCCAAGCCCAAAGAAGTCTGGAAAAGGAGATACTAAAAATAATTTAAAAAGTTAAACTAGGCATGAAATAACCCCCCAAATTAAAGTGAGGCTGTCGAGATTCACCATCTTAAGGGTTTGCTTAGGTGACTTTTAGCTTTCTTTTTTAAGACTTACAGAGACAAAAAAAAGCAAAAGAAAACCTTCATGGAGGCAAAAATTTACCTGGAAACTATTTAATTCGTCACTTCTAAGATTCACCAGATCATGATAAGAATATAGGGTGGGATTGTGTGGGGCTGGTGAAAGGGGTTGCGGGGTAGTTTTAAATGAGCTTCATCCATGACTAATGTCTCCAACAACGGGAAGAAAGTACTCTTTGCCTTCTGCAAAGGGAGGTTGGACTTCGAAGTCACAGAGAAGCAATGTACCCTGAAAGCTGCCACAGCCTCCTAGGTTCCAGCACAGCTGGGCTCTTCGATATTCATTCGCTTCTTCCAATGGCAGGTCAAGGAAGATGGTGTTTTATTAAGGAGATAATACAATCCAGGGGCTCTTTCATAACAGAAAACCTCCAAACACCGACATTATCTATATGCCAGTTCCCTTTTAGCCAAGTTTGAGGGGAGACCCTCAAGTTATCATTATTATTATTTGTTCTCATGTATGTTTGTTTTGCTTTTAAAAAATAGGAGAACTTCTGTGTTTAAAAGTATGCAGACCCTGAGAGCTTTCAGATGAGCAAAAAAAGTGGGAGCAGAGCCATCCACATACATCTCTGGGGATAATTCTGTGCTAGTCCTCTTTCCTCCACCCCGCCCCCCCGCCCCAATGCGGTATACTTCAAATGTGGGCAAGTTGCTCTCCCCTCTAGTCACTCTTACCAGCCTGTCACTCTGTCCATAGCAATTACACCCAGGGCTGAAAATCAGAAAACCAGACTTCTGAAGAGATGAGGTCTCAGAAGAGGTTAGTGTCAATAATCTGCCATTGTGGATATTCTATGGGATAGCACATTTATTTGCAAGAAAAGAAACAAAATTGAAACTGTCAGAGTTCAAAAATCAGTTTCTGTTTTGTAATATAGTACAGGAGAAAGGGTTCCGGAAGTGGCAACTTAATTTATGTCTAATTTCAGCTAAGTAATTGCAGACTGCTTCCAGCTTGAATAAGCAGTGAGGTATAGCTCCCAGTATTACTTATTTCAGCGGCACTCCCCCAGGATGAATGTTAGTTATTTTCAGTTGCATATGGGAAAACCAAGGTCCGCTGCCAAGCTGTGGCAAGTTGGCATCGCGTGTATGAGCTGTCGTGTATGAGCTGTCAACCACGATACTTAGTTCCACTCAGATTCATTTCTAATTTTCAGTTGGCGTGTGACCTTTTTCTTGATTCAATTTGGGGTCCTGATCACTTCCTTTCTCTGCCTCCCTACCTTCCCACCTATCTCTACCCACACAGGCAGCTTTTGGCTGAATCCATCTAATAATAACAGCGTGAGTGCCAAGTAGGTTGTATAAAATCCTTAGAGAGAGACGTGAAATGAAGCACATTGTTCTTCAGGGCTCCTAGGGACCAGAGTGTACCCATCAACAAAAACAAACTAATATGCAGTGAAATTATATGTCTCCCTATATAATTTATGCAGAATGGGATGATGCTGGGATCGTGTCTTAAATAGCTCTCCTCTGTGTGGTAGGTGGCCTCTAAAATGACCCCAGGGATCATTACCTGCGAGTATTCACAATCTGTGTAACCCCCCTCCCTTGTGGGCATGTGGGTTGGATCTGGTGACTCTTTAAACAAATAGAATAAAAAAAGTGATGGGATGTCCCTTCTGAGATTAGGCTTAAAAAAGACTATGTCTTTCTCTCAACCTCTCTCCTTCCATCTCTCTCTCTCTGCCAACTGATATGTTCTGAGCTGCCCTATGGAGAGGCCCATGTGGCAAGGAACTGATGTCTTCAGCAAGAAGCCAGCAAGGACCTGAGATTGGCCGACAGCCACGTGAGTGAGCCTGGAAGGTGACCCTCCCTCAGCTGAACTTTGATTGCAGCCTGTGAGACCTTGAGTCAGAGGACCACTAAGCTATGCCTGGATTCCTAACCCACAGAAATAGTGAGATAATACATGTTCGTTGTTTTATTTATTTATTTTAAAGATTTTATTTATTTACTTGGTGAGGGGGGAGAGAGCACAGGCAGGGGGGCAGGGAGGCAGAGGGAGAAACAGGCACCCTGCTGAGCAAGGAGCCCGATGCAAGACTTGATCCCAGGACCCTGGGATCATGACCTGACCCGAAGGCAGACGCTTAACCCACTGAGCCAGGCACCCCAATGTTTGTTGTTTTAAACACCTAAGTT